TGGACTGTTCACCCTCAGCTGAAGTAGATCTGAATCAAAAGCATGAGCTTGTAGGTAAATCCAGGCTTTAAATCCTCAGCTTTTATTCTTTCATTCAAAATCTAATCACACCAAAGGAACCCCAGAATTCAGAAGGCTAGTAATCACACCTGCTGTCTTCATGTAACCTGACTCTGCTGGCCATTCTGTGCATGGAGTTAGAGATCTCACTACCCTGGACAGTGCCCAGGACAGCTCTTAATTACTTCCTTGCCAAAAACCATTTAGAGCTTGTAGATTTATCCTGAGCAATGAACTATGACTCTAGGTATTCCTCTCTGTTGCTACTCTTTATGCCCTAATCAAACTTACATATCTTTTACCTGACAATTTTTTAAAATTTTGGTATCATTAATCTACAATTACATGAAGAACATTATGCTTACTAGGCTCCCCTCTTCACCAAGTCCCCCCAACAAACCCCATTACAGTCACTGTCCATCAGCATAGTAAGATGCTGTAGAATCACTACTTGTCTTCTCTGTGTTGCACAGGGCTCCCCATGCCCCTCACCCCCACATTATTCATGCAAATCATAATGCCTCCTTTCTTCATCCCCACCCTTATCCCTCCCTTCACACCCATCCACCCCTTTCCCTTTGGTAACTGTTAGTCCATTCTTAGGTTCTGTGATTCTGCTACTGCTTTGTTCCTTCAGTTTTTCTTTGTTCTTATACACCACATATGAGTGAAATCATTTGGCACTTGTCTTTCTTTGCCTGGCTTATTTAATTGAGCATAATACCCTATGGCTCCATCCAAGTTGTTGCACATGGTAGGATTTGGTTTCTTCTTATGGCTGAATAATATTACATTGTGTATATGTACCACATCTTTTTTATCCATTCATCTACCAATGGACACTTAGGTTGCTTCCATTTCTTGGTTATTGTAAATAGTGCTGCAATAAACATAGGGGTGCATCTGTCTTTTTCAAACTGGGCTGCTGAATTCTTGGGGTAAATTCCTAGGAGTGGAATTCCTGGCTCAAATGGTATTTCTATTTTGAGCTTTTTGAGAAACCTCCATATTACTTTCCACAATGGTTGAACTAATTTACAATCCTACCAGCAGTGTAGTAGGGTTCCCCTTTCTCCACAACCTCACCAACATTTGTTGTTGTTTGTCTTTTGGATGATGGCCATCCTTACTCGTGTGAGGTGATATCTCATTGTGGTTTTAATTTGCATTTCTCTGATGAAAAGCGATGTGGAGCATCTTTTCATGTGTCTTTTGGCCATCTGAATTTCTTCTCTGGATAACTGTCTGTTCAGATCCTCTGCCCATTTTTTAATTGGATTATTTGCTTTTTGTTTGTTGAGGTGCATGAGCTCTTTATATATTTTGGATGTCAACCCTTTATCAGATCTTTCATTTATGAATATATTCTCCCATACTGTAGAGTACCTTTTTGTTCTATTGATGGTGTCCTTTGCTGTACAGAAGCTTTTCAGCTTGATATAGTCCCACTTGTTTATTTTTGCATTTGTTTCCCTTGCCTGGGGAGATATGTTCATGAAGAAGTCACTCATGTTTATGTCCAAGAGATTTTTGCCTATGTTTTTTTCTAAGAGTTTTATGGTTTCATGACTTACATTCAGGTCTTTGATCCATTTCAAATTTACTTTTGTGTATGGGGTTAGACAATGGTCCAGTTTCATTCTCTTACATGTAGCTGTCCAGTTTTGCCAGCACCACCTGTTAAAGAGGCTGTCATTTCCCCATTGTATGTCTATGGCTCCTTTATCATATATTAATTGACCATATATGTTTGGGTCTATATCTGGAGTCTCTATTCTGTTCCATGGGTCTGTGGGTCTGTTCTTGTGCCAGTACCAAAGTGTCTTGATTACTGTGGCTTTGTAGTAGAGCTTGAAGTTGAAGAGTGAGATCCCCCCCACCCCACTTTGTTCTTCCTTCTCATGATTTCTTTGGCCATTTGGGGTCTTTGGTGTTTCCATATGAATTTTTGAACTATTTGCTCCAGTTCATTGAAGAATGCTGTTAGTAATTTGATAGGTATTGCATTGAATCTGTATATTGCTTTGGTCAGGATGATCATTTTGATGATATTAATTCTTCCTAGCCAAGAGCATGGGATGAGTTTCCATTTGTTCGTGTCTTCTTTAATTTCTCTTAAGAGTGTCTTGTAGTTTTCAGGGTATAGGTCTTTCACTTCCTTGGTTAGGTTTATTCCTAGGTATTTTGTTCTTTTTGATGCCATTGTGAATGTAATTGTTTTCCTGATTTTCACCTGAATATTTTAGGACCCACTATCTTGCCACTCTCTCATCTCCCACATTCCACCCTACCTCTGTCTAGCATCTACACTGCCACCTAAGTCATTTACTTTACACTTCTAAGGGAATGCCTAATGCACACAGATGAGGAGGAGGTGGAGTCTGAGAAGAAACAATCAAGCACGTGGGGAAAAAATAAAGATTATGAGGTAACCTAAGGAAATTATAGTTAAAAGTAGGGCCAGTAACCAGGTGTGCATTTATGTTATCGATGTTATACAACTCCATAATTTTTCTTTAGTTTGACTTAGCAATGCTTTTTCCACACTGCTGCTAGTGGAAATATCCACACTTCTACTTCATGATAAAAAAATCTCTATTTTTCCACACACTAATAAGAGTCTTGGGAACATGACCTAGCAGGGTTCATTAACAGGGTAGTACTGGCCAGGGACACAAAGAGGTAAGTTATGTTACCACAGTTTTGTCTCACAGAGCATTTTTGTTTTAATGATTTTTCTCAAGAAAGACAGTAAAAGGACACTTATCATATTATGCCAAAGTTGAAATAGTCATAGAAGAAAAAATATAAAAAACAAACACAGACTTACAGCATTGACTACATGATTTAGATATTCTGTCTATGCCAAATGAGAGGATTTCAATTATGACTTATTAGGGGGAATATGATAATAAAATAGTTTATTTAATGGTTACTGTTTGCTTTGTCAGTATCTCTTGTACTTCTAGGGTAAAATTTATATTTTGGTTAGAAAAAAACCCCAAAATTAAAGAAAAAAATTAATTTTTTTATATTTCAGATATTTGATATTATCTTTCAACATTGTGATTTCAGACTCTTGCATTTAATTTATGCACAAAAGGCTACAACAGAAAATGTTTCCACTGTATCTACATGCATATTGAACACTGAAGTGTAAAAGGGGAGACCACTTTTTCTTGGGGCCAGTGGAAGAAAGCCAAATATAGTGTGCAATGGAATTATTCAACCTCTTCTCCTCTCTGTCTCCCATCTTAAGTAAATGAACCCCCAAACTAAATGAATATAATGCTCACTTTTTAGAATTATGCTCTTAATGCCATTGATGTGCTTAATGTTCAGCAGAAGAGGATAGATAATCTGGTTTCATTCCAGGTTCTCAGTCTTTCTGGTAAAGCAGCTTGAGTGTGTCTTGGCTGTGACCATTAGGATTAAATAGGGCCCTTGAGTAAGTTTTTAGAGGGAGACCTGGCTTTGTAGGAGATGAACTGGTACACTGTGTATAAGGCATGAAGTCAAATATAGAATGATTGTCTTGAAATGTCCCTGGAATTCATGAGTTAGTTCTCATTCTCTTTGTACCTGGGGAACAGGGTGAGCTTAATGGGCCTGGACTTGCAAGGCCTTGAGTTTATAAGGCCCTGCCACTTGTTTAATGCCCTGTTGTCATGGTCTTGCCATTCTTAACAACTTTTTACTAAGGTACTCTACATTTTAATTTTGCACTGGTCCCTGCAAATTGTGTAGCTGGACCTTCTGGTGATGAAGAGCTTTAGAAGGGACAAAGCATAATCAGTTGCTTTCTCTTAGCCTTTGCAAAGACATACCTGGAATGGTCATGCTTTGGTATGTTCTGCTCTGTACAAAGGATTACACAATAGACAGAATCTGGAGAAGGTGCATACCTGCCTTCATGACACAGTTTCCATTCTCTGTTTAGTAATACTTCCCCTTTCCCCTTTTTAGCTGCATATGTAGCTTCCCAGAGAGACATCCTATTTCCAAGCTCTCTTGCATGTAAGTGTGCTCATGTGGTTGTATTTGGACCATTGAAATATGAATAGACATGTTTGCAATTTCCAGGTTACTGCTTTAGAGACAAAGACAAGGAGACGGAACCTATTTCTTGTTATTTCCACAGGTGGAAGATGTGCTGGTGTCCCAGCTGTGACCATTCAGAGGAGGATGGCACACTAGGGGTAGGCAGAGCACAAAGTAGAAGGAACTCAAGTTCTTTCAAGACCTCCTGAATTAGAGCTCCTCTCAGCATGGTCTACTCACCTTGCATCAGGACTGGAGAGAGAAATGAATATTCTGCAGTTTCTTTGTTACACTGCCTAGTGCCTGCATACAGAGTGATATACAGTACAAATTCTTGGGAGTTGATTCCCAATAAACTTGTATTTATCCAGAATAGGTGAATAAAATAGTGTTCTTAGTGTTTGAACACTGTACATAGGGAAAATTACTAATTTGTATTAAAGTGATATAAAACTGTTTTGAATCTAATTTTATCCTCACTGATTCTCAGAAGATTTCTGGATCATGCAAAGCCTCAACATCATCAATATGAATACTAATTATCATGTATGTCTACAGATATTGGGGCTTGAGTAAATCTGTATTAACCTGAAAAACTCCTGAAGTTGCATTTACAAAATAAATTCCAGAATTACTTTAATTTCATTATAATTTATCTCTGTATTGAAAGAAGGCTACAGAATGTTAAAAAAACTTCTATGAATTTTCTCCATGTTTGAAAAATGAATTTAGGCACTTACAATATTTTTAAGAACAACATTTTATACATATAAGATAATTTTACTTTTCATTTCTTAAATTCTTTCAGTGATTAAAACTGCTAAGATTTAAAATATGTTAATAAACCAGTTATAAAACCATTAAGGAATCCTATCTTCAAAAGTGTATTATATGTTTACCTGCCCCAATGACTCTCTCGATGCGAATTCTTGAGGGATCAATCTCCTTTGCAAATTCATGGACTGCTAGTGATGGGTCTTCATATGTATCTGGATCTATGTAAGTTTTAATTCCTGGGAAGCGTACTGCAACAAAATGAAAGACTGATTTAGTTTAAAGGTATTGTAGTAATTCCACATCTTGTGAATATTTAAAATGGGGAATGACATACTGAAGTGGTCATTCTTATTAATTACTTAAATTCACTCTTTTCTCTTCCTGTCCTCTTCCTCTCCCCCACCTCCCAAACCCACTTCCACCACTAAAGTGTTGAGTACGTGGAATTATTTACTTGTTGATGTAAAATGACCTGGTAGTTTTAATAGAGAGTGAGTGGACAGGTTCCAGAAAACACAAGATTATTATATTTCTGTAAAAAGTTGAATCTGTTCACTTACCAACTAACAACCCATACACTTCACATCTGATCTAGCTCTGGGCATGGGGAAAACAACAGATAAACCACTCCCACAACAAACAAGCCCTTCAAGGTTCCTCCTGGACCCTTTGTACTCTAAGGCACGAGGTTTTCCTGAACTCATGCCTCAGTCCTGTGGTCTCTCCCTTTCCAGAAACTCTCAGGCAGTAAAGAACAGATCCCACAGCACAGTTACAGAGAATGACAATGGATAATAGCCCTTTCCGGTGTTTTTTTAGTTGCTCCATGGCCAGACTGTATACAAGGTCCTGGAGAGGACTCCCTGTCTGCTCTGGAGGGAAGGATGGGAATCAAAGACCCAAATCTGATCACTGGCTGTACAGCTGCTACTTCTTCTCTGATGGGGCTGGATTGCTCACATCCCATAGGCAGTTAGGATGATGAATAAGGATGGCTGGAAGACTTGAATATGTGATTGCATATTCATTTGCAACTTCTTCAATATCCAAAGAAGTCGCATACTGTCTGTGGATATTCCTTTGTCTCGTTCATTGGTTTCTGTTTTTCATGTTGAGAGTGGCTAACTCCTGGAAGACAGGGGATCATTTCTTACACATCTGTCTTTTAAAATACATTATCTTTACTGAGTGTGAATTAGTAGAGTGTGATTAAAAGATCAATGAAAATTTGTGGCATAGTGGAGGGGTATTGGGTTTTGCTGCTTCTTAGATTTTGGAAGCCATGCAATACCCTGAGTTAAGTGTTGTCCAGGTCTCCTCAGAAACATGCTTTTACAAGGAAACTCAAACGCAAACAAACAGAAGGTAATGAAGTGAGTTTAGAGGATGTGATGAAAAGCCCATTAGCAGCAGTAATTTGCTTCCTGCATTCTCAGCCTGTTGGCTTCTCTTACTACTTTTTTTTGCCTCCTGCCTCCTAGTACTGGATATGTACCTAGAAAAGATTAATATTTCTCAAAGTAGCACCAGGAAAGCATATTTCTGGGTATACTTAGACGTGACAATGATTCTGAAATGTTAGGCATTTCTTCACTTCCCCAAATTTAGATTGGAGGAAAGGAGAACAGATAACCTGTAATTCTCATTCATATTCTATACGATATTTTTGCAACTTAGTTGAAGTTGAAATTGTGATTTCAGACTGAATACTAAAGCTAAATCCAGTGCCTATTATTAGATTATTAGGGGTATCTAACTGGATATATGGTCATGTTAATAACATTACTTTAGGCACAGACAAAATATATCATTAATTAACTCATTACATGATTTGAACAATTCAACCTTTCAATTATTTAAGGTGAAACACATTTCTACAGAATAAATTGATTAGTTAATATCATTTTTTTCTTTAAACACAATATATGTAGTTTAGGGGAAAATAAATCAAGTTCCTATTTTGACTATCTGGTTACTTATTTAACTTATCCATGTCTTCTTGAACATCAGTTTTTTATCTTCGATCTCCTTGGGTGCCTCGGGTTATTTTCATTGCTTCTTGCTGGGCCCATCTGGTTTAAGTTTATACTAAACTCTAGCTGGAAACAGATGATAAATACCTCAGGAACATCTACCCCCACCCCACCACCGCATTTCAGGACTAAATGCCTGCAGTGAATCTTAAGGTTGCTTAGCATAAGTCATCTGTCCAGGTGTCTGGATCCCAGTCTCCACATCTGTTTACAGTGTTCACAGCTCATCCTATACCTGGTAGTGGCTGTTTCGGTTTTCTCTTCCTTCAGTGTAGTGAGCCTCAAATTTACTGTGCCGAATAACAACCTGGGAGACCTTACTAATAATGTGTATGTCTTGGCCCTACCCTGGACCTTCTGAGTCAGAACTTTGGTGAGTGAGGGTGGAACATTCTAGTGCAGATGCTCTCATACTTTGAGAAGTCATGTAAGCCTTAGAAAAAGCCCAAAGCCATCTGTCTAATGTATAATTTCCTCGCTTTAATTCTTTCCCTCTCCCAGAAGGTGATATAGATAGAAAAGTCTCTCATTCCTTTTGCTCAATTAGAAGCAGAAGATGAATTTAAATAGTTAAACAATTTGCCTCACATATTATCTCTATACTGCAGTTAATTAGAGAACATCCTTTTTTGTTAATTCAGCATCTCATGACAAAGAAACTGTCTTGACAAAGTAGTTTGCCATTTGGAGGTGGAGGTGGAGGTGGGCGTTGGGGAGGAGAGGGTGGCAATTATCAAACCAACTATAGTGGTAATTATAACTTGCTTGGGAAGAGCTCCTTCAAATGAATATAACCTTGTAGTCAGCTGAAGGATTTCATACATATTCTAAGAGTTAAAGAGCTGATTTTCTTTTTTAGCATTAATGAATTGTAAATTGATTTGTTATATGTTTAAATGACAGTTCCTACAAGAAGGAAAAAGGATTCCTTAATATTTCTATGACTAATGCTCCACTAAATAAAACCAACTCACATTCTGGAACCATTGTGAGTGGTAAATAGCTAGATGTAATCAGTCATCGTTTGTTTTTAGCGTATTCAGTCTGTCGTGTTTTCCAGCAAGCAGCATTAGGGAAAAAGTAATATCATTTAATGAGAAGCAGGTGCAATTTCCACCAGCAAACCTGGAAACCAGAAAAAAAGTCATAATGCTGAAAGGTTGGAAGTGAATTGTGTTTGGGTTTTTTCAATTCAATGGATACAAGTTCAGAATGAACTCTTTAAATGCTGGAACAGATAAAATAATGGAAGAGACAATGCATTTACTTACAGTGCCCATTCTGTAAGTGGTTTCTTCTCTTTTCTTCCGATTTCATTTTGGCCTTTATGTACCATTGGCACCTTTTAAAAAGGGAAACAGAATAATATTTTTACAATTATGCTGGATGAGAACGAGAATCAATTAAGAACATTTCACCCATGGACAAAGTTCTTATCATAAAGACCACTTTGAAGAACTTCTTTATAACATGTGAAAATACCCCATAGCAAGTTTTTTGTATACACCAAAATTAACCCCAGATAAGAATAAAACTCTTAAGTGGATTGGTTGATACAAATGTTAGGAATCTTAGAAAATATTTTACAATCAGCAACAACCATCATGTCCTTCCTTACATGACTTCTAATAGCTATAGTTGGTGAAAAACATTAAAAGTCAAAATGAAAACTTTTTTGTCAGAATCGGAGGCATTTAGACAACTGTCTTCTAGTTTCAGTGCTAAACAGAATGGTTTTTTAATGTCAAATTTGGTGGAGGTATGTGTATTTTTTTCTCAGGATAATCACGTTCTTCAGAGAGGCAGGTGCTTCTCTCCCAGGACTCCTTCAACACAAATAAATCCATCAACATCCATGTGCTGGAACAGCTCATCAAACTGCTAATTATAAATGGCTAAACAGAATACATCTGTGGTACATAATCCATCTTTCAATGTCAATTTTTCCTCAAATCCTATAGCAAATTGAGTATTCAGAAATGTCTTACAGTTTTAATAAAATAATTTCCTATGAATCCTCCCATGCCAGAGTGCTTGCGAGATACTTCACAATGATTATTTTAATGTTATATAATTGAAATTGTCTTTACTAGGATGTCAAATGTTAAAGCAATTTCTGATGTTATATAAATTCATAAACATGGAAATTGAAAGCTGAAAATAATTTAGTACAAATTTTTCTTCATCACTAAATTCTCTTTTTCAGTGGTATTCAAAGTCAGCTTCAGGAATCCTAAATAAAGATAACATTTAACCCTCTCACATTTGAACACATGCCTCAAGTTTATTAGGTCAAAATTAGCCTAAAATGACTGTAATGTCTTCTTTTGTTTGTACCATTTATGTATCAAGATGATATTTTCTGATATTTTAGTGAAATGCTTTTCCATATGTGTATGTTCTACTTAAAATCATTTTGCTGAAATATTCTGAGGAAATAAGGCCTTAATTCACGTTCTACAAACTTAAAAATTACACCCAATTTTGCCATAAATTGATTCACTATCAAATAAAGCACCATTTAATCAACTTACATTACAAAGTTAGAGGCATTTTTTAAAATTGGGGATAAATATGACACTGCTGTTGAAATAAAGCCATACTTAAAGCACCCCAAACTTTTTTTAAAAAACTTTCAATTTAGAAAATGAGAATATTTCTCAATCAAATTACCATCATATCACAATTACCACAGTCTAGTTGACATGATACAATTTGTGTCTGTGGAGTTACTATCACCTTATACTTTAATAACTGAATAATCTTTCTAGGCTCCAAACTGATTGTCTTTAAATTATGTGCCCCAGGATAGAGTATTATCAAGATATCAATGACCCCAAATTCACAATATAGCACTTATGTTACAAATGGCAATGAAAATACAATATTATTATTCTACTTAACATTTTTCTAATAAGGTTTGCCAAACATGTAGCAACCCATGCAGTGTTGGCATTTTGAGTTTTTAAATTTAACCAAATTATCATTGTGACTTGTTATGTACCAAATGCTTTTGCTCTCTCCTTTTACCAGACTTCACCTTTAACCCTCTCACACTGATATTTTTCTTTTTCTTTTTTTCCCTTTCTTCGCCATCACTCTTGTTTTAATCCCTGTTCTTGAAAGAAAGTCTTAGGATCAATCAGAACTCTAACCTTTTTTTTAACAAACAAGCTTAGACCTCTACCAGGATATATAGGGTTTTGTTTTTATTTTATGAACAGTTGTGTCCTGCTAGTGATTAAGGATTTGTAGGTCATGTTTGGTATTTGTAGGCTTTGGTACTGAGTATTTTGTTTTTGACCTAACTAATTAGTTGGTATAAAGAATCCAAAATTTGTCTTCTGTCCACTCTAAAAGTTGCATGTATCAAAGCTGTGATAGTGGCATCGAGTTGTCAGAGGTTAGCACACGCAAAGGGAGAGAGAAATAGGAGAGGGTTGGGCAATAGTAGCTGCTGGTGGTGCCATGGTACACCTAAACTAATACTTGTTATTAGGATGAATTTATCATTATTTCTTGCATTTTTCTCTTATCTTTTTTTTATTACTATAGCTAGCAGTCTCCAATCAGCTAATCAGCTGCTCGAAGCAGGAGACTCTGAGACACTATTATATGACGATACCATGTCTGTTTATACACATGAATATTTTAAGTTAAAAGAGCGATAAATGTGCCTTTTATACAACTAATTTCATAAAGAAATCACCATTTCAACTCAACCATGCTAGAATATTCATGTGTTTCTTTGTTCCCTAATAAGTTCTGTAAAAGTGGGTTTGTTACAACTAAATCTGATATACCCTTAACAGGCAGCAGTTACATTTTGTCAGGGACACACCCTAGGTAAGTGTCTTGTAAGTACTTGTCAACTTACTGACCTATACCTTTAGTTTGCTGTCAAAATTATAGATAATAATTTTTCATACATGTATATCCTCCATAATTTTTTAATGAATTTTATAAAATATTGGAATGTAGGTAGAGATTTAAAAATGAATAAAACAAAGGTGCTCACTGAACGATTGTCCCTGAAAGTAGCTATTTGCTATTTCTGATCATTATCAGACATTGAGGTTTTCCAGTAGAGAAGGCATACATTAGCTGGTGTAGCCTGGATGTGTACTATTTGGCCAGCATTCTTACTACAGTTTCAAATCACCATCTGTCTAATGTATAATTTCCTCGCTTTAATTCTTTCCCTCTCCCAGAAGGTGATATAGATAGAAAAGTCTCTCATTCCTTTTGCTCAATTAGAAGCAGAAGATGAATTTAAATAGTTAAACAATTTGCCTCACATATTATCTCTATACTGCAGTTAATTAGAGAACATCCTTTTTTGTTAATTCAGCATCTCATGACAAAGAAACTGTCTTGACAAAGTAGTTTGCCATTTGGAGGTGGAGGTGGAGGTGGGCGTTGGGGAGGAGAGGGTGGCAATTATCAAACCAACTATAGTGGTAATTATAACTTGCTTGGGAAGAGCTCCTTCAAATGAATATAACCTTGTAGTCAGCTGAAGGATTTCATACATATTCTAAGAGTTAAAGAGCTGATTTTCTTTTTTAGCATTAATGAATTGTAAATTGATTTGTTATATGTTTAAATGACAGTTCCTACAAGAAGGAAAAAGGATTCCTTAATATTTCTATGACTAATGCTCCACTAAATAAAACCAACTCACATTCTGGAACCATTGTGAGTGGTAAATAGCTAGATGTAATCAGTCATCGTTTGTTTTTAGCGTATTCAGTCTGTCGTGTTTTCCAGCAAGCAGCATTAGGGAAAAAGTAATATCATTTAATGAGAAGCAGGTGCAATTTCCACCAGCAAACCTGGAAACCAGAAAAAAAGTCATAATGCTGAAAGGTTGGAAGTGAATTGTGTTTGGGTTTTTTCAATTCAATGGATACAAGTTCAGAATGAACTCTTTAAATGCTGGAACAGATAAAATAATGGAAGAGACAATGCATTTACTTACAGTGCCCATTCTGTAAGTGGTTTCTTCTCTTTTCTTCCGATTTCATTTTGGCCTTTATGTACCATTGGCACCTTTTAAAAAGGGAAACAGAATAATATTTTTACAATTATGCTGGATGAGAACGAGAATCAATTAAGAACATTTCACCCATGGACAAAGTTCTTATCATAAAGACCACTTTGAAGAACTTCTTTATAACATGTGAAAATACCCCATAGCAAGTTTTTTGTATACACCAAAATTAACCCCAGATAAGAATAAAACTCTTAAGTGGATTGGTTGATACAAATGTTAGGAATCTTAGAAAATATTTTACAATCAGCAACAACCATCATGTCCTTCCTTACATGACTTCTAATAGCTATAGTTGGTGAAAAACATTAAAAGTCAAAATGAAAACTTTTTTGTCAGAATCGGAGGCATTTAGACAACTGTCTTCTAGTTTCAGTGCTAAACAGAATGGTTTTTTAATGTCAAATTTGGTGGAGGTATGTGTATTTTTTTCTCAGGATAATCACGTTCTTCAGAGAGGCAGGTGCTTCTCTCCCAGAACTCCTTCAACACAAATAAATCCATCAACATCCATGTGCTGGAACAGCTCATCAAACTGCTAATTATAAATGGCTAAACAGAATACATCTGTGGTACATAATCCATCTTTCAATGTCAATTTTTCCTCAAATCCTATAGCAAATTGAGTATTCAGAAATGTCTTACAGTTTTAATAAAATAATTTCCTATGAATCCTCCCATGCCAGAGTGCTTGCGAGATACTTCACAATGATTATTTTAATGTTATATAATTGAAATTGTCTTTACTAGGATGTCAAATGTTAAAGCAATTTCTGATGTTATATAAATTCATAAACATGGAAATTGAAAGCTGAAAATAATTTAGTACAAATTTTTCTTCATCACTAAATTCTCTTTTTCAGTGGTATTCAAAGTCAGCTTCAGGAATCCTAAATAAAGATAACATTTAACCCTCTCACATTTGAACACATGCCTCAAGTTTATTAGGTCAAAATTAGCCTAAAATGACTGTAATGTCTTCTTTTGTTTGTACCATTTATGTATCAAGATGATATTTTCTGATATTTTAGTGAAATGCTTTTCCATATGTGTATGTTCTACTTAAAATCATTTTGCTGAAATATTCTGAGGAAATAAGGCCTTAATTCACGTTCTACAAACTTAAAAATTACACCCAATTTTGCCATAAATTGATTCACTATCAAATAAAGCACCATTTAATCAACTTACATTACAAAGTTAGAGGCATTTTTTAAAATTGGGGATAAATATGACACTGCTGTTGAAATAAAGCCATACTTAAAGCACCCCAAACTTTTTTTAAAAAACTTTCAATTTAGAAAATGAGAATATTTCTCAATCAAATTACCATCATATCACAATTACCACAGTCTAGTTGACATGATACAATTTGTGTCTGTGGAGTTACTATCACCTTATACTTTAATAACTGAATAATCTTTCTAGGCTCCAAACTGATTGTCTTTAAATTATGTGCCCCAGGATAGAGTATTATCAAGATATCAATGACCCCAAATTCACAATATAGCACTTATGTTACAAATGGCAATGAAAATACAATATTATTATTCTACTTAACATTTTTCTAATAAGGTTTGCCAAACATGTAGCAACCCATGCAGTGTTGGCATTTTGAGTTTTTAAATTTAACCAAATTATCATTGTGACTTGTTATGTACCAAATGCTTTTGCTCTCTTCTTTCCTTTTACCAGACTTCACCTTTAACCCTCTCACACTGATATTTTTCTTTTTCTTTTTTTCCCTTTCTTTGCCATCACTCTTGTTTTAATCCCTGTTCTTGAAAGAAAGTCTTAGGATCAATCAGAACTCTAACCTTGTTTTTAACAAACAAGCTTAGACCTCTACCAGGATATATAGGGTTTTGTTTTTATTTTATGAACAGTTGTGTCCTGCTAGTGATTAAGGATTTGTAGGTCATGTTTGGTATTTGTAGGCTTTGGTACTGAGTATTTTGTTTTTGACCTAACTAATTAGTTGGTATAAAGAATCCAAAATTTGTCTTCTGTCCACTCTAAAAGTTGCATGTATCAAAGCTGTGATAGTGGCATCGAGTTGTCAGAGGTTAGCACACGCAAAGGGAGAGAGAAATAGGAGAGGGTTGGGCAATAGTAGCTGCTGGTGGTGCCATGGTACACCTAAACTAATACTTGTTATTAGGATGAATTTATCATTATTTCTTGCATTTTTCTCTTATCTTTTTTTTATTACTATAGCTAGCAGTCTCCAATCAGCTAATCAGCTGCTCGAAGCAGGAGACTCTGAGACACTATTATATGACGATACCATGTCTGTTTATACACATGAATATTTTAAGTTAAAAGAGCGATAAATGTGCCTTTTATACAACTAATTTCATAAAGAAATCACCATTTCAACTCAACCATGCTAGAATATTCATGTGTTTCTTTGTTCCCTAATAAGTTCTGTAAAAGTGGGTTTGTTACAACTAAATCTGATATACCCTTAACAGGCAGCAGTTACATTTTGTCAGGGACACACCCTAGGTAAGTGTCTTGTAAGTACTTGTCAACTTACTGACCTATACCTTTAGTTTGCTGTCAAAATTATAGATAATAATTTTTCATACATGTATATCCTCCATAATTTTTTAATGAATTTTATAAAATATTGGAATGTAGGTAGAGATTTAAAAATGAATAAAACAAAGGTGCTCACTGAACGATTGTCCCTGAAAGTAGCTATTTGCTATTTCTGATCATTATCAGACATTGAGGTTTTCCAGTAGAGAAGGCATACATTAGCTGGTGTAGCCTGGATGTGTACTATTTGGCCAGCATTCTTACTACAGTTTCAAATCATGACATTGCTTATTTTGCAGTATGTATGTGCTTCCAATTATCCAGAAAATTCTCAAGCTATACTTTTGTGTGCCTATTGATAATCTAGAAGGAATATTTTTCCCCTTGTAGGAATGAAAATATGATCTGAAGAATATTCGTGATTTCTGACAAAAGTCATGGCCTAATGTTAAATGCTAAATAAGAAATAACACTTGCTCTTTTAATAATGTCATACATGTTATCTGCAATCACTTCTCTGTATTGTTAGTTACCTGGTCCCTGGTAACAATCCAATATATCTAAAAATCAATACATGGTTTTAATGCATTATCACACTAAATCTGTGTAAAAAGATAAATACAAGGTTTTGATGGGTGAAACATTTTGGTCAGCTAGTCAGGATTCATATCTAGATCTTTTGCTATGTTAAACTTTTTGTTACTTAAAATTTTTAACCCATACTACTTTAAAGTGGAGAAATATTGGATTTATAAACCAGGTTATATCATTCTAATATAGATACTTTCAATATTTAATGGATAAAAATGACACATATCTATAACACTAAGTTTATAAACAACTTCTATACAAATTGTTCAATATCTGTGTTGAATTAATTTTTCCCAGGAAAAATTTCTTTCATGGTGTAATTTAATTGTAGTAAGGATAAACTCAGGAGCAGTTTGTTGAGTAAGAATTTATCATTTGTAGGTTTCAAAGTGTTTTTATCAAGCGTTTGGCTGCTTCCATACTCAGGGACCTGTTGATACAGAGAACTAGCCATCAAGGTCCTGCTGTCACATAAAGTTCACTGTCAGAGAAGAACCTGCCCTGATCCTGTTTGCTCTCAGGTGTGCTTTGTTACATTTAAAAGCATTTGTATACACAGTATATAAAAAGAAATGTTTACTCATAATCTTGGAGAGAATGGGGCATGCTTCAGTTACCTCCCAGTGATTAAGAAGAACAAAGTAAGAATGACGAGGAGAGTGAATCCCCCAACAGCTGCAGTGGCTATCACGAGAATCTGCCCCTGCTCCGCCGCCATGTCAGAAGCTGAAACACAGATACAATAGTAAAATTTCTCTGGGTGACATTTCACTACTAAAGTTATTTTACATCCTAGTACATGCTTGAAAGTGCAGTAATGGATATCAAAAAAACCAACCACATTTGCCTTTTGTTTGGCATCTAGGATGCAAACCCAAAATAAGGGCTAACAATCCAGATCACAACAAAACCTTCTTTTTTTTCACAAAAATACCAATAAAGTAGGTGGGTCTTGCTAACTAATTTCCTTAAACATGCTGGCCAACAGACTTTATACACTGTTTTGTCTGTTTCTGCAAAGTGGGAGAAGATTGTTGTATAATTAGTTTTAGGAATGACCTTTTTTATATTTCACAGAGCTTAAATCAAACATTAAAGTTATGAATACCCACCTTTACAGCACAAGGGGATACGGAATAGGTGCGCAGATGTTTGACAGTTATTTTTCAAATGACATTAAAGATTCCTTTTTTGAATAAAAGAAACGAACACATTGCTTCTTTCATTGACAAAACTGTACTGAAACTACATGGGCTGCATGCTTCACTAATTTTTTCCGGAATCTTTTAAAATATACTAGTTCAATTAGTTCATTAGCACTTCTCATTCTCTGTATTCTAAAGTTTTGATCTAATACAATTTTTACTGGATGGAATATGGGCAACTGTGTAATAACAGAGGTAAGGAAACTGAGACCCAGAGAAGTTAAACTGCCCAAATTCACACATGAATATTGCCAGAATTTAGGCTTTAGATTTTTGTCTCATTTTTTCTTTCTTCAAGCTGTTACTTGAAGTAATAATTCAGTCAATTACCAATATTGTAAAACATCAAATCAATTAGTCCCTTATAATATCCCTTATCCTGAATAAACCTTGTTTTTATTTTGATTACTATAAAAACATCTGTTAACCTAACTATTATAAGCAGAAAATTGAGTCAAAGAATTTAACTGCAAAGCAAACCACTTTATTTTCATAATTTATTGGACTTGAGTTCTTTAAGACTTCCAAGAAGTACATCTTTTTCTGAGAATCAAGTATGCAATACACTGTATATAAATTTATATTCGCAGTAATAACTTCCTCATAAAAATCACATATTTACTAGAGAATATCAGAACCTTAAATGCTATTGTTGAGTCAGTAAGAAACTAGTTACAGCATTTAAGAGGCTTTTAAGAAATCCAAATGTAAATAAAAACAAAAGTCATTCATGCTCAGTTTTCAGTAAGAAATTTATTAAATCTTGGTGATTAGATTCTAATCACCATGATTTAATACAGGTTATTTCAACCATGTATTTCAATGTTGAGTTTTAGCTCAGAACCGTGCAGAGTCAAGTTAAATACTTGCATCTTATCCAAAAAACAGCGCTGAAGATTTTTTATTAGATCCTCACTGAATTTCTTAATCTTCAAAATAGCACTGATATCATGGGAATTAATACATACTCTGAAATGTCACATTTTCACATTGAAAATTATTGAATAACAAATTGCAAAGGATAGATGTTACAGAAAACATTAACTTTTTAAAGATAAAGAAGATGGCATTTAAAAATAAAATATTATTTACTTAGCAACTTCTGTATTTGTAAAATATGTAAAATACAACTCAAGAGTTTTAAACCTGGAACATATATTTTCAGAGTAGCCAGATAGCAAGTAATTTATTGAGTTCATGTATTTATGTTTGGATAGAGGGAAATTTTATGTAATCGCGTGCATTTTGAAAATCAGATTACCTTGTTATAAAAAATTGTGTTAAGTTAAATAATTGCTTAGTAAACTTCCAGTTCTACTAATATGTCTTTTTGCACACTTGTGATCACATATTTATGAACTTTGCTTCAAATAAAGTTTTAACTGGATAATAGACTGTTAAGTTGTTATATTTTGAAAAATACATTTTGTAAAATTGTTTTTAAACCTCTATACTAGTGATGCTAAACAGTTCTCCAGAGAATAATATATATATGAATATATAAGTCTTTTGAAAGAAAGAGTGTATAGTGTGATGCACTCTTATAGTGGGAATAAAATTGCCATGGATGATGGGGCTGAGATGATAATGAAAACATTATGAACATCATCATCATCATCAACACCGGCTATGTAGTAGTAAATGATCCTCTACTACTATGCTTGTTGCTTCAATTCATTACCAAAGTTATCTGCACAGTAGTCTTAATATTGGTAGGTACTATTATTACTCCTAACTTAAGGGTTATAATACCTGTCTAAGGTCATAACTCTTGTGTATAAGAAAGCTGGCAATCCAACCTTGATTTGTCAGATGTCAAGTCCAGACTGTCGTCAGCATTTTATACCACCGTTTTCACTAACAGAAAAACTGGCCGGACCCAGCTCTTCTGTGTGTCCTAAAACAATTGCCTGGTTTGACCTTGGTTTCATCTCTGCAAAATGAGAATGTTGAGCTAAGTGTCCTTGCCACAGTCTTTCAGAGCAGTTGTACTGGGGATATTGTCTTACCCTTAAAGGCTGCAATCAAATTGGGGAGAACAAGATTGCCATATGGAAATAAGAGAAACAGCCAGCACCTGTTCTGCAGTTACTGGCCCTGAGAGGGATAATTTCTTCTCATATTAGTGTTGGTCAATCACAGAGCTCTGACGCTATCTCAAGATAAAATTCAAAGCCCTTAACTTGTTAACAAGACTCTCTACAAAGGCTCTAACATGTATCTCCAGACTTATCTCTTATTGTTCTCTAACCATGCTCAATTTCTTCCAGTTCTTCAAATGTACCAAACTCTCTCTAACAGTCAATTCCTATTCAATCCTCCTGCATGAACGTCACAACATTTGGGACATTTTTATCTAATTGTTTAGATTTGGTTAGGTCCCCAGACATATGTTTGCACAGACCCTTGCACTGTTTTTATCAATAAATTTCTACCATGTCTATTGAAATTACTATTGTGTAATCTATCTTTTTTGATTAGACTGAAAAATTCCATGAGGGTAGGAACTTTATACACTATAGGAGCTGTATTGAGTTGAATGATGACCTCCCTTCTACCCTTACCCCTGCCTCTCCCCTACCACAAAAAAGGAATTTGCCAGTGTAACTGGGTAGGCCCAAATCCAATGACAAATGTCCTTACATAGAGAAGAAAAGACAAACAGGAGCAGTCCATGTGAAGAGAGAAGCAGAGACTGGAGTTAGGCAGTTAAAAGTTAAGAAATTCCTGGAGCCACCAGAAGAGGAAGAGGTAAGGAAGGATTCTTTCCTATCTTCTGGCCTCCATAACTGTGAGATAATAAATTTCTGTTGTTTTATATATGTGGTTATTTGTTTTATAGCCCTAGAAAATGAACACAGTATTCAACCTATAGGGCTTGATACATAGTATTAGCTCAATAAATATCTGTTTGAGTGAAGAGATTAAAGGATTACTTTGCATTGGAGGATTCTGGCAAGAAAATGCCATATTAATCTAGGAATAATCCACATCCTCACTTTCTACTTGATATGTAAAAAAGATTTACCCTGAAGGTAACTATTCTATATATGTGAAGTAACAACATGATGCATCAAAATAATCCAATTATTCTGTATGCTTGGAGATAATGCTTTTTGGAAGGCAGGCGCTACTAGTACAGACTTCTGTATTTAATCAAATTAAGCAGATTAAGCTTAGAAATGTGAATCCAATGTTAGGAACTTATAAATTCATTCCACAGAGGTTTATTGAGCACCTATTACATGGGGGACACTAAGAAAGACACTGGGGATTCAGTGATGAACAAAAAAGACAGTTACTGCCCTCCTAGATTTACAATTCAGTGAGTAAGATAGACAATGAAAATAATTCCATGTGCAAGAATTGTTACCAAGGGGAATCTTCAGAGTGCTCTGGAAGAGAATAAGCCTCCCTGGGTGCTGAGTCAGCAGAGGGAGAGTCTGGAAATATAATGTATTAGACGGAGTAGAAGGAGGAGTTTTTCCTTGGGTAGAGGCTCCAAATAATTGATTAATTTAAACAGATACACAAACAAACCATAAAATCTACCAAATGGATTCCATAAAAATACAATATAGCTGCAAATTTCTCTGTTATGAAAACTTGTCTGTTAGCACCATCTATTCATTTTTCAATCCTGAGATTATTTCTAATCAGTTTTGTAGAAGAAAATGTATATAATTTACACACATAAGTAACATCACAGAACAAACCTGTCTTTAGAAAAAAATAAAAATAAAATCCATGGTAAGAAATAAAATGGTAAGAAAGAAATAAAATTTGTGACTAGTTTATTTGGAATGTCTCTTTGCTTAATGGAATGAGGTTGTAGTCTTAGGAAAATAAAAATATATTAAAATGATTATTTCATTGCATGATTTGGAAAGAGGCACTTTTTTAAGAGGAAGCAATTATCCAAAAAGGGTTGCACAGTTGTTACTGAACAGGAACTTAGCACCTAGTCAGTGCTTGGCATAAGTCAGGATGACATTAAGTGAGATTTGCTTTAGTTGTTTCTGTTTTTCTTAAAATTAAGTTCTTTACATGGCATCCAAATATTTTTTTAAAATAGATTTTTTGTCTTTAGAAAAGTATGAGAGAAAAGTAGTTTAACTATTTTTTAACCAAAGAATTTTCTTCCATAGACATGAATTTTTTTCTCTTTGTAATCAAGAGTATTCTAGTTTATATTTACATTTCAGAATAAAAACTTTTATTTTCTGTGTCACTAGCAGTGGAATCACTTTTTTAAATGAACTCTGTGTCATTTTCTGCAGAATAACTTTTTAATATTAACTCTTTTTTACTAAGAACATTTTTTTTAAAGTTACTAAGGCAGCAGTTACATTAATTTTTTTTTGGAATAAAATTTTCTCAAAATGCTATCCAGGAAAAGAACTGGAATATATATTTGATTTGTTTCATATTAACATGTTTTATTTATGAATCCTAATCTTTGTGAAATGTCAAAATTCCAAATGATATATCTCATCATTTGACTGATGTGATTTTTTAAAG